TGGCCGACGGTCAAATATCATATCATATTTAGGATCCATATCACAGACCGTCCTCACAAACCCATGGTGGTCCACTTCATCCCAATTCAACACAAACAAAGCATAGCATTATCACAACACAATTAATCAAACATTGCAATTAATTGCAGACATATTGATCAGTTGAACATCTAATGCAATGCAAAATTAGACACCATTCTCAAATGCAATTAAATAATTAAATAGGCGGTTCGGTTACTAGTTATCATAACACCTACTCACAGTTCTTTATTTGTCCTTACAAGGAATGGCCTTTTGTAGCCACATGCTTCCACTTGTCCTCGCATTTTGTATTTTTTATAAACCTTGTATTTTATAAACCTTTAAAATAAACAAGAAAATTCTAAATAAGAATTTTAATTCAAAAACTTATATTTCACATTCGTTTATTTATTTTGGCTACCAGTCATTTAATTCACTTGTTATATAGCATATATATTTAGGTTCTCTCATTTATATAAATAACTATTCTAATTTATAACCTTTAGATAAAATCTCTAATTATTCGGTGAGAAATATTGTATAATGATAATTCTAATATTGTATAATATTTCTTAATACTTCAAATTTTTGTCGTCACTACTTCTTAAGAATATAACTAATTTAATTCTTCATTAAGTTTCCCTCTATAAACTGGACTATCCAAAAATTTTTTCAAAATTTTTCACAATCCACACACACAGCCCAGTCCATCGGGCAATTTCATATCACTATCCCGTCCGCCATAATCGTATATTATTCGGTCATCTTACAATTCCATAATCCATGTATAATTAATTGTTCTATACTGATTTATGTTTAATAAAATTCCTAAATTTATTCATTTAGCTAGGAAATATATTTTTTGTACCACCCCTATAGTTATCACTTAATATTTCATAAAATTATTTAACAATACTTTATTTTAATTTACTTAAATACTTAATTAGTTCATCAATAATTAATCTCGGATTTATTTCAAAATTTGGCGAATTAAGCTTTTAGAGTAGTACCGATTGAAATCAGATTTTCATTTCCGTGATTCCGCTGTAGAAGAGGAGGAGCATTTCTGTTCTCATTGAAGTCTATGCCGGGCCGGGTCGCACGGACCGCCACGCCACCGGCCGTGCACTGAGCCGGAAATTTAACCTTCACCAAAATGGACAACAATACATCATTTTAGTTCGTTTCGATGAGAGGGATCACCTAATATGTGTTCAATCAAGTGAAGGTGGGTGTGAACCAGTTGGCCGGAAATGTTCGGTGGTACCCACTTTGGGTTTTCCGATTCCGGCCACCATACTCAACACCGTAACAGTCAAATGAAAGAAGGAGAAGAGAGGAGTCGATCGGCACCTACCTTGAAGCCTCAGGTCGCCGGAAATGGCGTGAATGGCCGAAAGAATTGCTACTATGGCGTCGCACCTTTCGATTGAATTTTCTCTCAATCCGGGCTCAAATCGCACAAACCAAGGCTTGAATCATACTCCTTGCGATGAGTAGATATTTTTAGAGTATTTATTTACCGGATTTGGTGGCCGGTGGTCAGAGAACGAGAAGAAGAGGGGAGGGGGGTTGTTGAGAGAGAAGAGCGAGAGAGAGGCCACTAAGTCTCTCTTCTCGTTTCTCTTTTCTTTCTTTTTTTTTTCTAGAATTTTCTTAATTGGATGGATGGGGGGTTTGGGTCGATCTCGATCTGATTGGTTTTAAATCGTGGTTTGTTAGCTTGATTTTTCAATTGATTTAGGGATTTTTTCATTTGGTTTTGAAAAATTAAGATTTGATTTGGAGTCCGGTTCAATTGATTTGAGTTATATTTTGTTCAGTATTCCGTAATTATTTTCTCAATTTATTCATAACATATTAATTAACCAAGATATTTAATTTTCGGCTGATTAATTATATATAGTAGTTACATAATACTATAGGAACATTTTTTTAATCGATTAACAATTTAGTGTTCCATTTTATTTTCATCGAAATTTTAAGTACTTACCCAAACGAAAATTCTAATAATATGTTTTTTGGGCTTGGGCCAATTGGTTAAACTTGGGCTCAATTAGAATTATTTTTTTTTCCACGTGTAACAATATCAGCATGTCACACACACATAACTTTAAAATTCTTATAATAAATATTTGCATTTACCTTAATGTCATTTAAATACCAATATCAATAGCGGTATAAAAATATTTTTATCAAGTTTGAAAATCAATACCCGCTGTATTTTTTGAAAACCTTTTGTTATTTAACAAAAATGAATTGTCTATCTTCACGAGGACAATCCTCAAATCATCAAGTTCCAGTCTTCTGTTACATATTTCATCCCTAAATGATCTTCTTAACCAAGACTATTCTAATATCCATCATTATTATTCCTTTGGCTATTTCTAGTCTGTCAAATATATTAGTTCACACCTTAATTCAAAATTTTTTTTTTTCAAAGGTTATTTTTATTTTATTATTATTATTATTATTATTAATATTTTTATTTATTATTTATCTTTATCTTTTGTTATCTTTATTTATTTAGTTATTTATTTTATCATAATTTTTTTTTATATGCATATTTCTTACATCTGAATATATATTTTTTTTTTGTTACTTCTTTCTCGATTTATTTCTCATTATTTATTATTCTAGTATTTCACAGTAGATAAATTAGCTGACCATATTATCATCATCGGCTTTACTACTATTGAACATCCCCTAGTTTTATTCAAATTCTTTGGATATTTGATTCATTTTAATCTTTCTTTTATCCTCCATGTGTCCTCATTTAAGTCTTATCTTAAAAGAGCTTAATTATGGGTACATGAATCGTAAAACCATCATTCTACACACAATTGAATTCCATTCTAAAGTCATTGCTTCTTAAATGTCCTTATTCTAATTCTTCAATCTCTACTTCATCACTATGAGTTATCTTTGACCTTTATCCCTTTCTCCCTTTCCAAATGTTATTAAATCTTTTATTTTCATTCTATTTAGCACCTCGATCTAATTTTTCCGTACTTAATTCTTTTAAGAATTTTATATTAAATTTTCTTATACTTAGATTAAAAAATAGTATTAGTCCTTTCTACATAACTCCCTACCTAGATACATTATTCCTTTAATTTATTAAGTTTTCCTACGCATCCCGACGTTCCTTTCCCCATTCATTTCCCAGTTATTTACATCTTCTACATTCATTTTATTTAGAAATAGCTTTATGAACTTAGTCTAACCCATTAAGCATCCTACCATGTGCTAGAATCTTTAATTATATCATATATAATACACTTTACTACAGTTTCACCTTACTACAATTGTTTTTTTTTTTTTTTTTTTTTTTTTTTTTTTTTTTTTGCCAACTATCCCTTCCATACACACTAGTTCCATAAGTCTATTATCGATTCTATGTAATTGCTCATTTGTTATAATAGATTCATAATTATTTCATGGCTTCTAAGTACTCCTATTAACTATTAGCCAATCTTTTCCATATTAATTAAATTTTAAATTCAAACTTCTGCCTAAATTATTCACTGGACACTTTTAATTCTACTTAACACACTCAAATTTTACTCTTCACACTAATTTCTTCAAAGACAGTTTTATACGCTTCTTTATTATATTAACAATATGTTCTTCACATTCAATCACATAATTAATTATCTTTTTCTTTTATACTATTTTAATTACTCCATTTACTTCTACATGTCGAGATTCACCTTAATTAATACCTTTAATTACTCTTAGATACAATTTATCGTTTCTACATCTGACTATTTATTGATTCCAATAAATCTCCTGTCACGACCCATTTCCATGGGCCGGACCGGCACTAGGACCTGGGTAGGCTTAAGGCCCCCGAAGCCCGTAGTAAGCCTGTACTATTTAAAACTCGGCATTCTATCACAAATTGTGGGATTCAGGCCCAATAATTTATTTCACGATTATATCCAAATACATCCAAATAATAAATGTTTATACTCCTATTTGTTCAATTTACAACCCAGTTGGAATACAATTTGGCGAAACTCTACTCCATAATTCGCTAAACCCTTTGCATTTACATATTCATAATTATTTACTCTTATTCAATCCAATCTCTGTTCGTTCGTTTGGACTCCAGGATTTCTTCTTCCATTTAATTACCTGGGGAGGTTTGGAAGGGGGGTGAGTACTAAACTCCAGTGGAGCAGGATTAGATTTAACTCTCTCACCCCACAAATCGTACAAATGCTAAAAATATTTTAATGTGGTCACCCATTTGTTTATATGATTCATGCAGATTTGTCAACAAATGGTAATACAAAGCAGCAATCACAATTATAGTCACTCATATAATCACATCACGTGGAAATTAGTCAGGTGGCACCACCTGAAACTCAACAAGCCCGTCCTCACACATGGCGCTGCGCCTCTTTATACATGTGCTACCAGGGAGGCCGATCCCCCAATACGGCAACTGGTCTAAAATCCTCAACATAGACCAGTCCTCTCATTGTTTTTCCATTCTCCATCTCTTTCTTTTTCGCATACCAACAGGAGGCAACCCGGTTGGGTCTCCATCCAATCTAGTATCATCAAGTGCTTCACCAACAGAGGCCACCCTGCGGGCTACAATCAAATCTAGATTATCAGGTGCGCAACAACAAGAGGCCATCCTGTGGTTCTATATAACCCGATATCATCAGGTGCACACGGGGGCGCCGATCTTCCCATTTTCCGGCCGACGTCAATATCAATACTCATATTCCAGGATCCATATCAACCGGACCCGTCCTCACAATACCCATTGGTGGTCCACTTCATCCCATTCGCACAACAAACAAGGCACAGTATAATTTCAATAGCACAAAGTATCAAACAATTTTTTACTATCAACAATGTGCATCATAATATGGCACTTCAATAAAATATGCATGGATAACATTTTAGTCGTGAATGCAATGCATGCAGGCGGATGAGACGAATTATCTAACACCTACTCATACAGTTCTTTATTGCCCTCTAAAGGGACTGCCTTTCTAGCCACATGCATTCCAGCCTTTGTCCTCGCATTTCAGAATTTTATAAACCTCTAAAATTAAACAATAAAATTCTAGGTAAGAAAGTTTAATTTGAAAGATTCTTTTCAATAATTCGTTTTAATTAGTTTGGTTTCCAGTTCATTTTAATTCACTTATTAAGAATATATATTGGGTTTCCTTATTTATTTTATTTATTCTAATTTATCGCCTTTAATAAAAGCGTTTAGTTTATCCGTTAGTTAAGTAATATTTTATAATAACGCTAAGAAGAATACGAATATTAATCATAATAATATTATTAATAGTAATAATACGATTGATAATATAATATCAAAAACGATAATCATTTTAGTCGTATTATCTATTACGGATTTCTTTACTAAGTGTTCACCGAAATTTGGGCAGCATTTCCTCTATAAACTGTACTACCAAATTTATCAAATTTTCACAAATCCACACGCACAGCCCATCCATCGGGCAAATTTATATCCACTAATCCCGTCCGCCATAACCGTCATTTATTCGGTCACTTAATTCACATAGCCCATTAAAATTAATTGTTTTATAAGTATTTATTTGTTAATAATTCCTAAAATTTATTATTAGGTAGGAATTTGTATTTTAGTACCGTCCTTATAGTTATAATTAATATTCATTAAAATATATTTAACAATATTTAATTTAATTTACTTAAATACTTAATTAAGTTCATTAATTAATTAATTAAGTTATTAATTAATTAATTCGGGATTTAATTCAAAAATTGCGAATTAAGCTTTAGAGTGTACCGATTGAAATCAGATTGTTAATGTTCGTGATCGCCGAGAGGAGATCAATTCTGCTCTCAGGGTCTTCGCAGGAGTCTCGCCGGAGCCACCGCCGTCGGCCGCTAGTGGCATGGTGGAGCGGAAAATTTAACCTTCAGTCCAAAATTGACAAACGATACATCATTTTTAATTCGTTTCGATGAGAGGATCAGCTAATATGTATTCAAATCAAGGTGGGTGTGAACTATTAAATTGACCGGAAAGGTTCGGTGATACCCATTTTGTGTTTTCCTATTCCGGCTATTACAGTCGACGAGGAGCCTACCAAATGAAAGAGGAAGAAGAGAGGAGTCGATCAACACCTACCTCGACGCATCAAGTCATCGGAAACGATGGGAAATCGCCAGAGAAGTTGTTACAACGATGCTAAACGTTTCGGTCGAGATTTCTCTCAATCCGGGCTCAAATCGCGCAAACCAAAGTATAAATCAAACTCCTTGCGACGAGTAGATATTTTTAGAGTATCTATTTGCCGGATTTGGTGGCCGGTGGTCGGAGAACGAGAAGAAAAGGAAGAAGGGGGACAGGGGGGGGTTTGTTGAGAGAGAAGTAGCGAGAGAGAGAACCACTGAGTCTCTTCTTCTTCGTTTCTCTTTTCTTTCTCTTTTTTTTTTTTCTAGAATTTTCTTATTGGTGGATGGGGTTTGGGGTCGATTTCGAGTCTGGTTTTGGGTTTAAATCATTGGTTTTAGCTTGGTTTTTCAATTGATTTTATGGATTTTTCATCTGGTTTTCGAAAATTAATTTGAATTTTTGGGTCCGGTTCAATTTATTTATTTATTTGATTATTTTGTTCAGTTCCGTAATATTTTCTCAATTTATTCATAAAATATTAATAACAAAGATTTTTAATTTTAGGCTGATTAATTTATATGGTAGTTACATATATATAGACACATTTTTAATCGATTAACAATTAGTTTTCCATTTTATTTTCATCGAAATTTTAAGTATTACCCAAACGAAAATTCTAAATAATATATTTTTGGACTTGAGCCCAATTCGTAAAACTTTGGGCTCAATTAGAATTACTCGATCTTAACAGCCCATATTATCATAAATCTGGATTTTTGATTTAATAAAAATTCTAAAGTCTAAAGTTTTGAAAATAAAAATTCAGGGTATTACAATCTCCCCCCCCTTAAGACAATTCGTCCTCGAATTGATTCTAGTGGGACAGTGGACGCATGGAAAATTGTAAAGTTATAAGAAATTGCTTCCAATACCAAGGAGACAGCTCAAGAGCGAAAATACAGACTGAGGAAACAAAGTGAGTGGGGTATTTTGATTGTATTTCTACCGCCAATTGTCATATTTAGAATAAAATTCCGTTGCTAGGAAATCTTTTGAAATAAAAATCTTATAATTAACCTAGCCTTTCAATAAAATGCTTACTATATTTATATATATATATTAAATTTTATTACGCATTTCTTTATGAAAACCAAATATATAATTTGCAAATATGAAAACCAAATATATAATTTGCAAAAACAAAACAATTTGAAATTTAATTTACCTATAATAAGAAATGATTCATTAAATTCCCATATGTTAGCACTAAATCTTTTCTTAATCAAAGTTAAAAAAAAAATTGTTACTTTAATCCAAAATTTTAAGAAAAATTTTCTTGTAATTTTTGTTATCTATAATATCGTAGGGTTATTCGAGCTCACTCTATAGGAATTTCTACACTCTTTATTTAATCGCCATCCCTATGTCTATCACTTATTCATTAAATTATCTGAACATTTATCATTAAAAGTTGAATTTATCATTAAAAGTTGACTTTCATAATATCCTCTCATTTCACTTATGTTGCTTGTTAATTCATCTTAAGGATATTGAAGCATACTTATTTAAGTATTCCTTCCACTTAATTTCTTTATACTACGAATCATGATTTTTCACGGCTTATAGATCACTATCGTTTCAACCTAATATCTATTATTTCAATAATAGTTCATGAGTCCCGACCTAATGGTGTCTTACTATTCCGACATCACACCAATTAAGTAGGCTTCATTAATTCCATTTCTTTCACCCAACTCTGAATTACATAATTTACTCGTTTTCATATGACAGTTCAGTTTATACCTTATTTATGAAATAATAGCAAGGCCCTAAAAGGCCTAATCCATAATTTATAAATACATAAGCTAATTGTTTATAAATAATTATTTTTTTATTATTTTTATTTTATTTTTATTTTTATTTTATTAAGTTTTAAAATATCATATCATTTATTATCTTCTCTTTATTATTTAAGTCCTAACAAGCGTATTTATATCTTTCCTTGAATTTATCCATTTCACCTTATCAATTTCTAGTTTCTCAGGTTGCACATTGCCACCTTATTATCTACACCTCGACTTTAGTTCAATTCTTTCATCCTTTTCGTTGGCATAATTTTATTAATTTACCTGACGATTCCACTTCACAGGTTCGTTTCACTTAATTTTTCTCAACTAATAATCAACTAGTAACTGTACATTTCACTAATTCAATAACTAAAATTTATCCATTTCACCTTATCATTTCTAATTTCTCAGGTTAGCACATTGCCACCTAGTGTTATTATCTACACCCCGACTTAGTTCATGTCTTTCATCCTTTCGCTGGCATAAATTTTTATCAATTACCTGACGATTCACTTCAGATAGATTCTTTTGTTCTCTTTTCTGTACGGATTTAAATTTTATTAATTTTAATATTTATCGAAGAGCCTGGAGACATTAATTGCCACATATTTAACTTGTATTTTATTAACATATCTTTTAACTTCAAAACATCCCCTAGAGTTTAATAATTTTCTTATGATCTCGTAAATTACCTGAAAGTTTAAATTTACATATCAAGTATCTTTAGTTCTGATTTGTCACAATTCGTTATAGTCTAAAAAGGCATAGTATAAAGATTTCGATTCTTAATATATCTATTTCTAAGTTTCACTGTTTTGTATCTCTTATTCTTGAGAAAAATTTCTACCTTAATAAATTCATTTCTTTTATTGATGTCATATCTCTTTTTCTTAAGAAAGAATTTATTTCAGTGGGTTCATTTATAATAATGGTCTACAACACTAGTTATCTCATATCAAACCTTTCATCAAATGTGTCTACTAAGGATTTTTGAGCAATTTAAGTCTTTATTTATTAATATTCACTGATATAAATTGGTAGATTAATCGTTTATTCAAAAATTCGACGAATGAGTTAACAACTACAGCCTAGGTGGACCATCCTATGGGTAACTGACTATTTAAAAAACTTTTAAAATAATTTTCCTTTTCCACTTTTAAAAACGTCGGCATGTCACTCACACAAAACCTTGAAATTCTTTTAATAGAAATTTGCATTTACTTTTATTTTAAACCAATCTCAATCGTGGTATAAAAATATTTTTTTGGTATTTAACAAAAATGAATTGTCTAATCTCCATGAGGACACTGAAATCATCTAGTTCCAGTCTAATGTTACATATTTCATCCCTAAATGATCCTCTTAAACCAAGAATATTCTAATCTCCATCATTACTATTCCTTTCGCTATTACTAGCCTCTCAAGTAGATTGGTCCACACCTTAAATTTTCCCAAAAGTTATATTCAGTAGTGATTTATATTTATATTATTATTTTATCTTTATTTATTTAGTTATTTATTTTATCATCATCATTATATATTTTTTTTTTATTTTTTTTTTATATGTATATTTCTTGCATCTGAATTTTTCTTCTTTCCCAATTTGTTTCTAATTATTTATTCTAGTATTCCACAGTAGATAAATTAATTGACCATATTATCATCATCGGCTTTTCTATCGGCTTTTCTACTACGATTTTAACTCCCCTAGTCTTATCCAAATTCCTTTAGCCTTTATTTGATTCATTTTAAATCTTTCTTTTTTATCCTTCATATCGTCCTTAGTGTACGCCAACGTCATTTAAAGTTCTTATCCGTAAAGAGTTTTAAGGATGGGTACATGAATCTAAGGCGTAAAATCGCAATTTATTTTACACAAAATTTATTTCCATCCTAAGGTCTATTGATTCTCAGATTTTCTTTTTCTAATTTTTTCTCAATCTCTTTTTCATTTTATGAGTTAATCTTTTGACGCTTTATTCTCTTCCGAATTTATTAACTTTTATTTTATGTTTAATTTAGCACCATCGATCTAATTTCGCCTTAATATCTTTAAAGCAGATTTTATTAAGTGTTTCTTTA